ATGCAATGAAGTATTGGCATATAAATGATTATCTTTAAAGTTGATCAGCTACGACGATCTGGCGGTCTTAAAACACGAGACATTTTAGTAAGTGAGCAAATTATTGCATAGGCATCTTATTCATATTAATATATGTGTTTACTCTAAAACTGCTGCTTAGCCAAATGTTGTGAAATCCAAAGGGAATTCACTACTGGGCAGAAACCTCCACAACAAAATAGGACTGACGAAACATTAAAGACTTCAACCAACCCCTCACTTCAAAAATAAATTCTTGTCAAAGAAAATGTGAAGTACAGTAGAGATTTCAGCGGCCAACAGAGCTATTATATACAAATTCAAATAATATCTGCTTCACTGTTCCTTTGAGTAGTTCAATATATTGCCTGAGCAAAGTTTCCTCTTACCTTAAGTTCCTTTTCTATAGGTTGACGAAGTTCAGTGATTCTGGCCTCAACACACTCTGAAAACTGCTTATAATAATTGTACAGATTCCACAGGATGCTGCACAGAACATCTAGAAGGGACAGATAATAACAAGCTTCTTTTAAAACAGGATATTATTCAGTATCAAGAGAAGAAATGCATCCTCTTTTTTTTTGTAACCATGAAGCTTAGCAACACCAAAAGATATGGTAAACTGACCAATAGTTTCCTTCATGAAAAGAGCAGCATAGGCTTGTGTTGTATTTATAAGCTTAGTGATCTGTTTGCAAAGTCTTGAATACCTGATGGTCAGGCTGCTGTGAAGACTCAATACATGTAATGCTAACAACTTACCCTTTTCTGCTCCTTGAGGCATCAGCAAGACATGGCAGTGGAAAACCAGTAGTGCTTGAAGTCGTGCATGAAACTCTCCCAGCGTAGATCCTTCAATGAAAGCTTGTAGCGTGCTGACCAGCGTTTTCAGATCCATTTTCTCAGTTTCTGGACATTGCACCAGAAATTGAGAAGGCAAGAGGGAGAAAACAAAACAAAACTCTACATGAAAATTGTTGGATGCTCCATGTAAAATTCCAACTAAATATCAGGTCTCTGTTAGGAAAAGTTCAAAACAAATTAGGAAAGAGAGGGAATTCTAATTTAGTAAAAAGTAAAACCAAACACACATCACACTAGAAGAAAAGAGAGAGGATAAGAGAGGCAGCAGTAACATCGCATCTGAGGACATGTCCAATTTTAAAGTGCATGAAGTATTTAAAGAAGATATGCTATTCTCTATGAATGAATGGATTTTTCAGTCATGAAGAGCCATACTACAAATTAGTCACTGTCAGTTCCTTAACTCCTCAAAATCATCAAGACAGAAACAGATCTTGGAAGAATGTGGTAGAGAATACACTGTCTTTAGAGCATTACCTATGGAAGAAGACATGCTGTCCACTTGGAGATGTAAAAAGTACCCAAGGATCTGAAGCTTGTCATGTAAGTGCATTAATTATTCATGAGACTGGAAAAGCCCTGCCTCATGCCAGAGGATGTTACTTTCATCTTTACAATTTCATTAAATTTTGGAGAGCAAGGGACTGAGAGGTATATTCTTTCCCTGATTTCACACAACATGAACACCGGCAGACACATTTGCTAAGCACAGTAAGTAACAAAAACATACCTACTGCAAGAATTCTTTAGGCTTTATATAGAACTTAAAAACAGTTCAGCTGGGATATGAATTATGCTTTGTGCAGTTAAAAAAATGAGGTGTCTTCCCCAGCTGCAGATGGACGTCTCCTACCCTCCAAAAATCAGTTTGAAATGTTTGTGTGTGCAAGACATACAGTTATCAACAGTTCTGCTTTCTTTTAGATGTTTTTTTTTTTTTTTTACAGACATCTTTTTTCCTTTACACCACCTACAATGTTGGCACTGTAAGAGACATATGTGGTTCCACAAATAAATACCAAGCAAAGTTCACTCTATATGGAAGACTCTATACAGTCATGGAATTTACTGTAGAATAAAGGAGTCAAGAACTACACCTGAAAGTGCATTGTCAAACTCTGGCATTTAGGACTTTTATTATGCATCCTTAGTAACTGCTGGAACTGCATCATACATTCATATAAGGACAGCACTTACCATCTGTGTTTGCCTCTGTCTGTTCTTGAACATACTTCTCAATCATCTGATAGATTGAGAACCAGTGCTTTGTAGATTTCTCTACATGTTGCTTCATAATATTGTCCAAACTTACTGACCAGCACCTGGAAATAATATGGGAGGGGAGAGAAAAAACGAAAAAAAATATTGTGGGTAGTTTGGGCTCCAAAACAACACAAACTTTATTCTCTGTTTCTTCTAAGCTGAAGGAAAATTTTACAGGATGGAATAATCTGCACATATGCTTAATATCCACAATCAGCTCTTGAGGATCACTGCTTTGCCACTATTAAACATGAGAGAAGAAATACAGGAACTTGGGTCTGTCAAACAAAACCAGTCAGAGCCAGGTTCAAAAGTTTGTTTTCACAAAACTTGAAGCTGACGTGTGTAATTCCTGATCATGGCATACTGTGGATATAAAAACTGAACATGGTCTTAACCGGAGACTGGACAATTTTTAAGGAAAATTTAATGGGTGTTATTAAACAGACAAAACACTGCAGGCTCAGTAAACCCTATGACGAAAACAGGAGAACACTGGGAAAGTAGTGGAATGAAGTACTGTAGTTATCTGTTCTACTTCTCCTCCTCCTGAGGCACATATATAGGGTCACCATGGGCTGGATATTCTCACTCTGAGCTAGTACAACTGCTACTTTAGTTTTCTTTTTCCCCACATTGTTACTAGGACAGCCACATACACACACAGAAGCGTGTTCCATGATTAATGCAATTCTTCACTGGAATATGTCTGTACAGAGATGGAAGCTTACAGTATCTCAGAAAAAGCAGTAGGGAAGGACAATTCTTACTTTAACTCCAATCTACGCCACTGAATAATCAGTTGTGTGACCAAATCAAGATGTTTCCGCAAGGACAAAGCTCGACTAGCATTTTCCTCCCAGTCCTGGGAAAAAAAAAAAAAAGGTTCCCCTTTATACAAAGCCAGAAATTAAGTCTTTACATGGCAAGACTCATGCAGTACTCTGGATTACGTTCCTACTCCTTAAACTTACAGCACGGAGCAAGTTCACTTCCTCAAATTCTGGCAGACAGCTTTTAGTTGTTTTTAAAATGGTACCAATATAAATAAGGAAGCATAAAAGACAAAAGAAAAAGTTTTCTGTTAGCTCTTTTCTTACCTGTGCCTTTGCAAGAAGAATTTCCAAGCCATTCAGGAACTTTGAGAGAGGACTAGAGAGTGGAAAACTCTGGATTCTGTCCATCACAACCAACAGCTGCAGAATAAAAAATAAGCATTCAGCCTCTAGTAACTGATAGAATCATAGAATGGCTAGGGTTGGAAGGGACCTTAAAGATCATCTAGTTCCAACTCCCCTGCCATGGGCAGGGAAACCCTCCACTACATCAGGTTGCCCAAAGCCTCATCCAACCTGGCCTTGAACACTTCCAGGGATGGGGCATCCCATCCTCAATAGGAGCATGATTTGTATGAGCATAGCCCTCCTCTACAAAAGGTACGAATAATTTTTTTTTTATTTTAATCGGCTTCCTCACTTCAGTGTAAGCTCATTAGTAGTTCAATGAAGGCCAGTGCACTCGAGGAAAGGAGCATAAATGACCTAAAGTTCCAATCGGTTCTGAGTTTCTGCATTACTCGAGGAAATATAACCTGAGGGCCTCACAGGCCCCCCCTCACAGGATCAAAGATGTCCATTTTAAAGCACTATGAAAGAGAACATTTTGGAAAAAAACAGGAGCCCGAACTGCAAAAGATCTCAAGAATCTTCAAGGTATGGAGGCTGAAGATTACTTAAAGCTGTAAGATCAGAGTAGGCAGTGAACACCACTTAACATTTCATAACTAAAATACAACAGGTAATAATATCCAACACCTCTTCAGAAGAACGAGGTATGTCTTCAAAACATCTGTGTGAGAAATACAGACAACATCCAGGAAAGTGCATGCATGTACACGTCTATGCGTATCTATATACATATTTGCACACAAATACAATTCTAAAATGCTTCAGTTTTCCCCAAACGTGTTGAGGTGTTTTTACCTGCACAAGTACTGGATGCTCTGGCCATTCCTGCAGTAGCCTATTTACTTCTTTAGCAAGGTTATCAAGTACAGGTTGGCACTGTCGGACTTCCTGAATATTAGGATGCTGGTAGAAGTCATACGGGCCATCTTGCTGCAGCACAAGATCTGAAGTTAATTCCTCAAAAAAGGTATTGTGAAGAAGAGTGCTAACTAGAAGCTGGCTTCCCAAAAGACTATCATTCATTTCGGCACCTAGGAAGCAAAAAAAAGGAAGACATATCACATGCTACTAATTCTTTTTTCAGTTGAATAGAAAATGTTCTTCCCCACCCCCTGTATCCCAAGCCTTAGAATAAATCACGTAATTACATCTCATGTACGAGCACAAAAATAAGTTACTGCAGAAACAGCAATCTTGTTGTGTTATTTGCTTAATTGCACATATATACATTTATTAGCTTAGAAATATAGCTCTGCTTTGAGAAGTAATGAAAATATTATCCTGAGGTCTTGCACATCGGTATCATGACTTTTCACACCAAGCATGCCAAAATTCAGGGTAAAAATGACAACTTTTTAAAAAGTTATAGATGCTCCATTGAAACTTAATTGTCAGTTTTATGTCTGGGAAATTTCTACAAGTGCATATTCCTTCATAGAATTATGCAGATGCAAGGAAGCAAAGCTTCAGAATATGGAGAAGATTCAGTTTATTCTTAAATTGTGTTGGTCTTATATATTAACAAATGGAATACAGCTAAAATATTCCATAAAAAAATAAAAATGAAAGCATTCCAAGACAATTCTGAAAAAAAACCCCACTTTTGTGCATTTTCCTCATCATAGGTCTGTTTCATGACCTGCAATATGATTAATTTGAAACGAATCACTACAAAGCTAAACCTGCACACCTGAAATATTGCTAGCAATCTTACCAATTAAAGGATAGAACTGTGACACCAGACATGCACCAGTCTGATAGCAGGAAATAAATGTACTGAAATAATGTTTGGCTTGATGAGAAGGTAGACTCTGTTGATACCAGAGGGATCGAGCAAAGTTTAAGCACAACTGTTGATGAACCATCATTACTGTTTGCATAGAGCTCTTGGACAAAAGGGCTCTATCAACTTCTGGCTGCTCTTCCAGTGGATCTTCAGTTTCCATTGTTTCTTCTAGGCTTGGCTGAGCTGTGATATCTTCAAAGTCCTGCAAATTACATGATAATCGAAGGTCAACTATAATTTCTTCCTTTAATGCCTCGCCTCCCCACCTCCCTTTTCGCACTTTCTAGCATGGCAACAATATGCTGATGATGTGGAGCTGGCACTATATAGACATGCTGCCTGCCTCACCAGCTCATACGTCAGTCTGAAACAGAACACAGGTGAACAGAACAATTAAGGGCATAACCACAGCTGGCAAGAGTGCAGTACAATGAGCCCTGAGCTGCTGCCAGCTAAACCTCTTTCAGAAACACCAGCAGCAGTCTATCTGCTGATAAACCACCTCAATGCTGTTTGGTCACTTGAAGACCTGAACTATTACATCCCAACAACACACTGATGCACGTAACTGTCTCGTGCATTTCCGTACTGCACAACATTGCTCAGTGAAGACACACTTCAAAAAACGTTTAGCAATGCAGGCCAGTTAAATTTGAAAACAATCTCACTAATCTCCTAATCAAGTTGATTAGCCTTCTTCAGAGGTAATTAAACCTCAGTAGACCTTACCTGCTAAGTGAATCAAACTCCAGAATTTTACAACAACCAACTAATGACATTGTCATTCAGTGACTTGGGATTATTCAGCTGAAACACAGTACGGTTCAAGTCCAGAAGTTAATTCCTAAATCTTTCTACAAGCAGAAGGGAAAAATAAACTAAAAGTACAGCACTTAATACCCTTCTATCGAAACCTACTGCACCTTTTTCTTTCGGCTGCTAAAGGAAAAACTGCTTCGTTCCTCATCTCATTATACTTATAGCATGCCTTTTCAGGAGCTACTTCAGACATAATTTTCATGTTTCATTACAGTTGCTACCTTTTCATGAAAGGGAAATCTCCTCCTAAATTCTTCTTCTTCCTCCTCTTCCTCACTCTGTCCTTTCCCATGACGTTTACTTCTGTATCTGTACAGGCTGCGTTCCATTGCCTCCCGCTCTTGGGCACGCCGTTCCTGTTCATCCCATTCATTTATAATCGCCTATGAGAACATGAAGCAGCATGCTTTTACACAAGTTGAAGTCACCTCATCACCACATACTTCAAAGTGGCAGCATCCACCTTGTTTGGCTCCTTCCTCCTCTACAGTCTACAACAGTATAAACCAAAGCCATCTAACGTGAATGAATGTGCCCTCTCAACAACTCAATGAGGAAAAAGTACAGAAAACAGTAAGCAACAGAGTGTTTGGCCAAGTTCTAGTCTCCTTTCTTAACTATTTTATAAAGAAACTCTCTACAAAGTTTGGTTTTGCGGGTTTTTTTGTGTGGTTTTGGGTTTTATTGGGGTTTTTAATAAATAAATTTTTTGGTAACCATTACAGGTTATGATTTTATGCCTTGATAAATCCAAATCAGTTAATCCAATGTTTTAGATTATGTTGAACTTTTCTTTTATCAATTCAAAGGGAAAAAAAAAAAGTAAGTTTATGGTTGTCATCATAACGGTCTTAAAGGCAAAATCACTGAATGGTTTGGTTTGGAAGAGACCTCCGAAGATCATCTAGTCCAACTCCCCTGTCATGGGCAGGGACATCTTCCACTAGACCAGGGTGCTCAAAGCCCCATCCAACCTGGCCTTGAACACTTCCAGGGATAGGGCATCCACAACTTCTCTGGGCAATCTGTTCCCCTGCCTCACCATCCTCAGAGTGAATAATTTCTTTCTCATCTCTAATCTAAACCTACCCTTTTCCAGTTTAAAACCATTAAGCCTTGTCCTATCGCTACAAGCCCTGGTAAAGAGTCTCTTTCTGTCCTTATAAGTCCCCTTCGTATGCTGTAAAGCCACAATACGATCTCCTAGGAGCCTTCTCCAGGCTGAACAACGTCAACTCTGTCAGCCGGTCTTCACAAGAGGGGTGTTTCAGCCCTCTATAATTCTTGTGGCCCTTCTCTAGACCCACTTTAACAGATCCATGTCTGTCTTCTACTGGGGACGAGGTAGTTCAATGCAAGAATCCTGGCCACTGGCATTCAGATGTTACCTGACACAGATGTCTAAAAAGCTGCAGAGATTTCTGGTCCATCTCTCCTCTGGATAGTACATGGCATCGAAGATGCAACAAAGCATTCACTAGGAGCTGTTCCAGAGTTGGGCAAGGCTTCTCTGCTCCCTCAGATTCTCCATCAGAGTGCTTCAGAGAAAACTTTTTAAGTCCATGAAGGACCTCAACTGAATTGACTGAGCATAAAATTTCTGCACGAGCAAAGTAAGTGGGGAAGGCACGGCCAACAGAAGGAAACGTTAACAAAGAAGCGAGGAGGTTTGTGAGATCAGCTGGACGCACAAAACATTTGAGCACTGAATAAACTTCAGAAGCCACTAATCGCATGCCATGTTGCAGCTGTAAGATGGCAGCTTGCAGTGGAATGATGGCATCAGGGAACATAGCATATTGCTCTGCTAGGTGTTTCCGAAACTGATGGTGTGATTGCTGCCATGATGCTTCTTCATTTAACAGGTTTTGTATTGCCTGGAGTGATTTAGGTCCTTCCCCACGGAGGAACTGCAGAAGACGGGCTAAAAGATCTTGGACTGAAGAAATTCGTGCTATGCTGTTGATGTACTGATGAGCCTCCTGGTATAAGCAATCATAGGGTGGAGATGGAGGCCTGAAGGCCTTTTTTCTGGAAAGACTGCTTACTTGCTCCTTCAACCTTTGCATTCTTTCATGCAACAGTCTGTAAAGAAATAACATTGATCAGTTGCGACACAAAAATTTTTATTTTTGTTTTTATTTTTTTTTAATGGTTTGGGTTGGAAGGGACCTTAAAGAACATCTAGTTCCAACCCCCCTACCATGGGCAGGGATGTTTTCCACTAGACCAGGTTGCTCAGAGTCTCATCCAATCTGGCCTTGAACATCTCCACAGATGAGGCATCCACAACTTCTCTGGGCAACCTGTTCCAGTGCCTCACCACACTCGAAGTGAAGTACTTCTTCCTTATCTCTAATCTAAATCTGCCCTCTTGCAGTTTAAAGCCATTATTCCCTTGTCTTATCACTACATGCCCAGAGTCCCTCTCCAGCTTTTTCGTAAGCCCCATTTAGCATGTTTATATATATACATATATATAAAGATAACAGTTAAATATATAAAAAGATTAATCAGAAATATTCTGCTAGTTTGTGTGAAACCGCAAATAAGGAAAAAAACAAGAAGTGACACCCCTATAGTATGCATATGCACTTCTCTTTTCCCCACACTTGAACAAATTTGAATTACTTTTTTGCTTGTTATCTGACAGGCCTGTGAGCATTAAATAAAAAGTAGTATTACTGGAAGCAATTGGTAAAACTCAGTCATTTAGAATTTACTTTTAACAACAATTGCTCTCTAAACAATAGCATACAACCATCAGATCCTTTACACGTATAATAATGAAATAAAAAGCTTCCATTAATAGTGGAAAATCACAAATAATATCCAGTTTTTATCTCCACGTACAAGGAACACCTGGAAATCTGCACAAATGAGAAATCTCTGTTCACTTAAAATTTCCTTCTCAAGTTCCTCAGATAAAAGTAGCAACAAAACAATGCCTACAAATTCTGAATGCCAACAGTGTACTCTACGTGGTAATATATTTAATTCACTCACAGCACCATAAGCAAAGGCTGTTGCTAAAATACACATCTGGAGATTTCTACCCAGTACAAATCAGCCCAAGAACTCTGCAAAATAGCTTTGGCATCTATCCAGGCCTTGAAGAGTTATAGAGATAGATATACATTCCATCTCATTTCAATTTGTTGACAACGTTGTCACGTTTTAATTAAACTACCATAATTTTTATGTATGGCTTTGTTTTAACTTCTGGGCATAGCTTCAATTTTATCAAGATATGAAAACCACTGCTTTAATTGTTGTATTTACAGCAGTACAAAGTGCATACAGGCAATTCCTTAGTCACTGCAAGTAAACAGAACAGCTTCTGTATTTTTCTTTACCACCTCAATATGCAAATTGATACTTTCAAATCAGCAACCCTTGGTTCTACAGAAGAACACAAAAATTGTAAAGCTATAGAGAAAAGTTTTGGAGCCCAAGTATCGAAAGATGAAGTTTCCAATCTGAAAGAGAAGAGTTAAGTGTCTGGAATGTTACCTGAGATGGGGATGAATATAGTTGTTGACTGCTTCATCTTCAATACTTTTTCCTGTATGCAGCTGGGACGACAAATCATTTGTTTTCCATTCACACTCCAGCTGGTATAACTAAAACAGAAAGAAAAAACTGTTGTCTGAGGTTCTGGTTTTGGTAACCAAGTAGGTGCAACGTCTTCTTGGACGTTAAAAGAAGTTATAACTATACAGTTTAAAAATCATGACTAAAGATTTGCCCAAGAATATCCAATCAAAACTCCTTTGCATTGATTTTATACGTTACAGAGGTAAAAGCCAACTCAACTCCACACTCACCTCTTCTTTCATATACTTGAGCTTGTACTCTCTTTTAACAGCTGGATCAAACCTGGTCTGCGGAAGCCACACCTGGATCTGCACCAAACCAATATTCACCCAGAGGCTTCCTCTCCAAGCTGTCTCTGGTAACTCCTTAAGCCCTTCCCCAAAGAACTGCTGCAAGCAAGTAAGCAGGAGAAACAGGAATTCTTTAGGAAGTAACTCCTGATCAGTGATGCTTCTAAGTATCTTGAGAAGGTACTCATATTCAACAGGATCTTTGAGGTAGAGTTTCTCACAGCACTCCAAAAATTCCTCTTGAAGATCCATTGGAACCAGATCTACCAGGGCAGAGAGCTGTCTGCCTAGCATTATTCCTTGTAGTCTAGCATCTGTGTATCTGGAGATGAAGGAAGGAAAAAAGTTTACACATGGTAAGCAAACTTCTGTAACATGCCTGATTTAAACAATGTATATATAACAGAGGTCTTAATACCTAAAATTTGCTATTGAAGAGACAGCCAGGTTGGTCCACAATGCTGTGCTGGCTTCATGAAGTTGCTGTGCTCTCTCCATCCATTCTCCCAGTGTCACATGGGATGATGACAGAACAGGAAGCCCACTCACATCCCACTGGCTTGTCTTGCTGCTGCTAGTTAGAATTTCAAAGAAGCACTTTGAGAAAACGGCTCGGGTCAAAATACCTGGGCCCTAAATTAAGAGATTAAGAGTTAGATTGTTCAGATGCAATTTGGACTGACTATACTAGAACTTAAGTATTGCTTTAGAAAGCTGTTTAATTATTTAATAAAAGGGTATTCAGCCTAGTTGTTTGATTAGGTCAGAAGAGACAAACCTTCAAGGAACAGTTCATATGGGATTTAGAAAAGTTCTTTTCCTCTGTTGCAGGTAGCGGCCTCCAAGTCAACCAGTAGTCTGGGTCTGTGGTGAAAGTACTTCTCCAAAAGGATGCTAATGCAGCATTAACTAGTTGAAATGACAGAATAGACACTTCTTCTGGGGATATCTAAGGAGAGAGAAAAACTTAGAACTGATAATAATTTACAGGGAGCAAAAGAGAATCAAGCACACACACACACAAGAAGAGTATGTCAGCTTTTCAGTAGGGATAGGACAAGATATTCCTCAAGATCTTTCAGATTCAGACAGCATTTGCTTACAACACTTCTCAACAAAAAGAGTACACTTCCTGAGGTCTGCACTGCTTCCTTTGGTCTGTCGAATACGCAGTGTGTTTACGGAGCAAGTTTTCAGAATACAGCCTCTAGTCTACAACTGTGCAACCTTTTGTTACAATACATGAGGTTGCATAAACATGAAGCAGATAAAGCTACCCAATATTCTGCTCTGAAGCATTTAAAGCGAACTTGCTCATTTACTGAGCTTTGTGGGAACACAATCATCTCTGTATCATAGCTAAATATTAACGGATCGGAATTTCTCTGGCATATTTAATGCTCTACAAAAAATGCATCAAATAACTGTCTTAGCCTACCCGATCTGCAATACAGATTTAAAAAAAAAAATAAATATAGAGGCACAGGAACAGAGGCAAGTATTTTTCAGCATAAAATGACTATGAATACATAGATAAAAGCAGACTGGCACCTGCTACTCAATTTCCTGTTTTCCACTAGGTCACTGATGGAGGAGAGGAACAATAGTACCAAACTAGATCACATATACCTATGTTATTTAAGACTTAGTTGTGTTTTATTTATGTTCTAATGTTGTGTTTTAATTACATTTTTTGCAGTCTTACAGTTAATAACCTTTCTTATTAAATGAAGGAAAAATTATTGTCAGGCACAGCTGGAAAAAATGGACCTCAAAAATCCTACAGATATACAAAAATACATATTGAGGAGTCTGTTGAAAACTTCTGCAAGACTAATTAAACTAAAATTTGTTCTTACTTCATTAAGGTGTAACAAGTGCCACAGTCCAGAGAGCTGGTGAGAAGCGGCTGGTGTCAACTTCAGGAAAAAAGCTATAAGCTGAACGAGATCTGAACATCTGCTTAGTTCTTGACTGCAGTTCTCCCTGTAGCAGGTAAAAGAAATACAACCGAAGTAATGCTTAAGCACTCTCAGATAGCAAAACAAATTGATAATGTCAGGCAAAGTCACAACAAATGAAGACTCCCTGAAAGGTTAAAAAGACAGCATTTTAAATGTTGGACAAGAACAAGCACTCAAATAACACTCAAAACACTTGCATCCTTCAAAGTTGGCAAAATCTAAATATGACAAAAGGGGGAAGTGGCAGCATCTTCTGTAGCTATAAGCTATGTGTTCAGCAAAATATACAAAAGGTTTGGAGACAAACTGTCATCCAGCTTTATAGTTGTAAACATCACAACTTTGCTGAATTCAAGAGTGAATCAGTCATTCTAGGATTCTCACTGCATGAAAAATTACTTTCACTGAAACCCATAAATGAAGAGCTCTCTTTTAAGGAAGAGTAAAACAGTCTAAAAATAAATATACTTGGCCTCTTAAAACAACACTAACACTTCTTAAATTAATAATGCTAATTTAAGCTACGAGTATACACGTGTAGTTTACACAAAAGGAAGCAAGCATGCTACTGTACTTTCTCCATCACCAGGTCTAAATCAGTCTTTCTGCAGTAGCCCCCAGCAACATGGCAATAAACTTCATGTTAATTCCCAATATGAAACACTCTTCTATTTCATTAAAAGGCAAATACTATGTATTTCCAAAAAGAAAATACTATGTACTATTGACTACATAAAAAGTTTTAGTTTTCCTTCACCTATAATCCATTCTATTGTTAATAAAGCAATTTCTGCAGTCTAATGTGTTTACTCCAAGGCGCTTGCACATCAGCATTCCTAAATGTGCACCAATAAAGTAAGTTAGAAAAGAAGAAAACTTCTTCCTCGTTATAACACTAAACTACTCCTTTTGCTGATACTTTTTATAGCCACCCAAGTGCAATTCCACAGGCAGACAAGGAGCGCATATGCATTTATATGCATAAATACAAATACGCATATGTGCACACCACATACATATACATGCATATACACACAGCCATATACATTAATATACATGTACACATACACAGATTTACATACAAATGTAAAGTACCAAAGTTACAGCTTTTAGCTAGGGATTCTGAATCTAAGGAAAGGAACATGGCATTTCTTTCACCAGTCTTCTTACCTTCTTGCACAAGCCTTGGCCACAAAATCTGCTGTCAGTTTGTACTGCCAGAGCATGCCTATGTATTCCATCGCAGGCCACAGCTGAATCCTACTGCAGAGCTGGTTTAACAGGGCAGAGTCTAACTGGTTGGAGACAGTATCTTCAGCAAACCTTTCTTCTGAATAACTATATATAACTCCTTCTGCTTTCAGTTGTGAATGTACAGCTTTCAAAAAAATTTTTAGTTGACCTGTTTGACAAAGCACAAGCGATACATAAATGCATGTACTATATTTCTTGTCAGTGAACATTTCACATCCTTTCCATTTGTATACAAAAAGAATGGACATGGCAGAGATCATCCTCTTCAAAAGTGTCACCTACCTAGACTAACATCCTCTGAATGATTAGCTCTAATTATCAGGCCATCAGCTTGCAGCAACGCTTTCTTCATCTTCCACCCAGTGGCAGCAATTTTCAGACAGCACATTTTTTCCTGCCATCTGCTTTCTCCAGGGACCAATCTTAGCTCCAAGACGTTAAGTGGTTTGCTGATAACTTGTAACTGAGAAAAACATTCCATGCCCAGTTTATCCTGGAATCATGAAAAGGACATTTGAACAAGTGGTAATTTGTTTCAGCCGCACTAACAAAACAACGAACAAGATCTGTGACTGCAGTCAGAACTAAGATTTCAAATTCACATGCACATGACTGAAGTACAAGTATATATAAACCAACCTGCAACAACTTAACAATAATTCTTTACAGCAGGAAGACAGAAGAGTTGGCCACAATTCCGCCTTGTCAAGTTTTTTTTCCTTCATGAAAAAACTACATAGATTATGCAGATAAACAATACCTCAACACGGCAACTTACCTAAACGAAGGGCAATAAAGCTACTGTCAGAAGCTACTGTCACTTAAAAGAAATTGGCATTTTACACCTACAATTAAAATACATTTGGATGCCTTGAAAAACATCTCAAAATTCTCAGTAAGCACTGAATGTTCTTTAAAGTTCCACAAAGTAACTATGCGCATTTTTGAACAGTGGAGTAGCTTGGGGAGACAAGGCTATAAAAACCTAGGTCTAATTACTAATCACCATCATGAGCAATCTAAATGTCTACTTGTGCCCTGCTTTTAAAAAGGCACTTACAATTTTCAGAAAATTTTACTGTAAGATTTTTTTATTGAATGACACCAATTGATGAAATAACTTAAGAAAAGAAAAAACTGTCAGAGTTAAGAGGCCTTGTCTTGGTTAAGTCATAAGGCAAGCCCATCCTATGCTGTATAAAAGGGAGTACGTGTTCTATTCATATGTTCACTAAATAAGCAAGTTGCATATTGATATTCACAAGTCTCCAGAACAGAGCAAGTAGTAATATTTTTGTTTGTCCACCACTCTATATTAAATAATTGCTATCTATGCAAAGCATAATTAATAGTAGAAATGCTATCTGGATACCTGATACATTTCACAAAAAAGATGTACATTACATATGCTGAAATTGCTTTTTTAATCCACCTAAAAAGTCCAAAAGAAATGTATTTTTGCTGGCCTGGAAAGCAAGTGCTACAAATCTTTATGATTACTTTAAAACATATTTGGACATCGCTGGAAATACAAATCTTTTGCAAACAGAGTACCAGTACCTTAAAAGGAAGAGGTCTTCCTATAGACTTCTGTAATATCTTCATATTGGCAGACATACCAGCAGGATTGGCCAAGCAGCTCTGAATCTGCTGTGAAACAGACTGAATTTCCTTGGAAACCCTTGGAGATTTAAAAAAAAAACCAACAAAAAACACAAAACATCCCACACAGTTAACTCAGATTTGAGAAAAAAGGCAAAAGGATGCACGAGAAAGAAACATCCCCTCTCCTAAAGAGGCAACCTAACTTTAAAGTACAGAAAATGGGTAAAAATTCTGGATAATCCTTTGGGCAAAAAGAAACCCAATGCTAAGAAATCTGAATCTAAAGAATGAACAGCTATGTAATACCTTGCATTTGCATCACTATCAGAACACAACTTGGACACTAACAGCAACAATGTTAATTAGCTATCATATCCCAAAAAGGGTAATTTATACAACCATTTAACAGAAACATAAATCAAAGCCACTCACTTGTGCTGGTCTGATCCGATAAGCATCTGAGGAATTCTGTCAATTAGATGTTTCATAACCCAGTGCCAGTGCAGAGACAGAAGTGACAACCCTGGCGAATCCACTGTCAGAGTGTCAGAGACAGCCCAGAAACGGTCACGCCACAGCAAGCAGTATAAAATCTAACAACAAGCCAAAAAGGTTACAGTTCTCCCACTGCTGAGCCCTGCATGTTACAGAACAATTTGTACCTCAAGCAAGAAAAAAAACACAAAAACATTGTCACTTCCATTAATTTCAGAATCATGCGATGCCTTATACTTAGTGGCACACAACTAGCACTCAACTACACGTTTTCCAAATATACTGCAGGGCTCTGCTGGCAAGTGCAACTATACAAGTCAAAAACAAGTAATCCCTGCACTAGGTCTACAATGTCATTGTCAGATTTCAGCAAAATGATCTTCATGGTAGGAAAAGGGACAGGGAGAAGTGAACCACCCTTGTGACACACGTCAGAAGTCCAGGTTCACATATCTTGGTATCCGAGATGGACGTGGATACTCCCTTTATCATTAGTGCAGAGAAGCAGGCACATCTATGGTACAATGGATATCTAGGTGTCCCAGGTGCATGCATTTAGGTAAGATAATTCTCACCCTGAGTATCTGCAGGCTGAAAACATTCCACATGGAAGAAATGAGAAGACAGAGCACAAATACAGCAACTGAAATAAATATGATATTGCCTAGTGTCAGGCATATTCTAAATACTAACAGAAACACTGCAGTTTATTTTACGGTCCCTGAAAAAAAAACTAGCGTCCTGCACACTATCTAACTAAATGTAACTTGCATAAATGGACTATGAAAGTTCTACTCACATCATGCACGTCATCATCGCTTAAGGCCACCTGAGTAGACTTCACCCAGTGAAACACAAACGCATCCCAAAGTTCAAAGAAAGCAGCAAGGTTGACCACGACTGCATGAGGCAGGCAGTTGTAACTTCCTGGATCTGAGGTTTGGGTAAGAGAGAAAGAAAGGGAGAGACTGAATATTCCAGTCACATAACATGACAAGTAAGGGTTAATTTCTTATCACTATATCCTCTCGGGGGGAATAAATCCCCAAAAGATCTAAGAATCAAAGTAATAAAAAGTATTCCTGCACTATTTGCACAATTCTCTATTACCTCTACGCATTTAACATATTAAAAAAAAAAAAAATCCAGAATGCAGGAAACATTGATTGATTGCTTCTATGCAACATACTAACTTCCATCACTAAATTTTTCCCCTTTGTTTTAGGGGTAAACATCCTAGTTACATAAAACAATAAAAAGGATTAGAACAAAAGCACAACTGAAGAACTTGGCTATTCTGACTAGCTAAAGACAAAATGCAATTCTAATTTCTCTCCATCGCCTTCCTAAAGTTTTGATAATTAAGAGAGAAATGACATGCGCTCACTACCTAGTAGAAGTTGGACATAAATGCTGCAGCATAAGGTATGTCTAATATAAGATTAGTATGTTACATATCATATTAGTACTTCTCTGATCCCTTTACATTCACACAATCTTCCTTGGCACACTCAGGACATACCATGTTCAAAGTACACATTTCATAACAGCACAAATTAACTGTTGTCATGGTTTAACCCCATCAGGCAACTAAGCACCACACAGCTGCTTGCTCACTCCTCCCCCTCAGCCAGTGGGATGGGGAACAGAATCAAAGAAAAAGAAAAAAAAAGTGAAGCTTGTGGGTTGAGATAAAGACAATTGTCCTGGTTTCAGCTGGGACTGAGTTAGTTGTTCTTTTTAACAGCTAGAAGAGGACAGCAAAGGAAGAGATTACAATAATAAGAAAAAATAATTAATAATAAATAATAATAATAGAATATACAAAATGAGTGATGCACAGTGCAACTGCTTGCCACCTGTTGACCAATGCCCAGTCCATTCCCAAGCAGCAATCCTCCAGCTAACTTTCCCCCCTAGTTTATATACTGAGCATGACATCATATGTTATAGAATACCTCTTTGGCCAGTTTAGGTCAGCTGTCCTGGCTGTGTCACCTCCCAGCTTCTGGTGTGCCCTCCAGCCTCCTCGCTGGCAGGGCAGTATGACAAGCTGAGAAGTCCTTGACTTAATGTAAGCACACTGTTTAGCAACAACTAAAACATCAGTGTGTTATCAACAGTATTCTCATCCTAAATCCAAACACAGCTCTATAGCAGCTACTAGGAGGAAAATTTAACTCTATCCTAGCTGAAACCAAGACAACCATATTTCGAATTGACCATAGAACTGAAAGGACCAGAGAAAATCAACTCACCTTTGCGAAAATCTAGAGACATTCTTAAGACACTATTTCTTGGCTTCTTGTTGGCAATCAAATTCTTCTCAGTGTAGCTTCTTTTTTCTCGGTCAAGAAATAATACTGCCCTGAATTAAAAATAAAGTTGTTAGAAATTCAGTACCATTTTAAAGCCTCTGCCTTATGAGAATGGTAAACTACAGACAGACATTTGATACTTCACTGCATTGTGAATCAAGAATCAAGTGCAGCGTAACTAATTGCTTGAATATGGTTTCTGCAGAAGCAAGCTTTACAAAGAGCAGATTCCTGGCTTCAGCAATCACCAGGCAGGAAAAAGCAGTGAGCTACTGAGCAGATGCAACACCACCACCTGTAGGTTACATGGTAAGCTCCTTCCTTATACTGAGTGTAACTGCAAAATCTGTGTACTTTTTGCTCTTATTAGGAAAAGCAGTCCAAATCCAAAAAACAATGCAACTGTTTAGGTTTTATGTCAGAGATTTCACACTGCTGTTTCTGCCTCTTTTACGCTTTATCCCACAGTTCTGGTTTGTCCTTCAAGTACTTCGGCCTATATGGAATGCTGGGAGCCCTGCTCCCTATGTTAAGCGATTTGTTTTAGCCTGCGTCTACAGAAAATAGAAGCAAAGAATTTAAAGAACTGTACAAAACCTCTCCCTAGTATTTCAGATCACATCTATCAAAACCTTAAAAACATACTTGGTAGATGCTGCAAGTGTTTATACAACACTAATTACAGTCATCAGGCAATCTTCACAAGCTTTTTTTTGTAACCCACCGATTTGCTACAGACTTCAAAAGGATTAGAAGCTGATCTGTGTGTTCCATTTCCGTATCAAAGTTCATCGAATTTCTAATGATATCCAAAAACTGCATATTCCATCTCGGGTCCAGAGGCATCACATGTTCATCTGGGAAGGCAAACGAGAAGACAGGACAGCAGTGGAAACATTATTCAGTGACAGACTTTCCTTGATCCTCCTGCCTATGCAAGAACTTTAGGGGAAAAAAAGAAGGAAGACTAAAAGGAAGACAGAGTCTTAAGCTCCCTCACTCCAGATATCCAAACAGAAAAGCACTAAGTTGACTGCAGGTTCTGTAAAACAGAACAGTGAAAGAGAATTAACCAGTGGTCAGAGTACCCAAAAAGACAGCCTGGGAACTGAAGTCTAACCTCCTTTTCCTTCACAGTCCTGGCAAGATACCTAGGAACATCCATAACGGGTCCAGTGTGACTGTAGGTAGCTTTCATGCACCTAACAAGCCTGGAAAGGAAACCTCAGGCCTGAGCTCCCTGTAGAACACCAAGGAGAAATTATAGGCCTCAACACAGGTTTCAGATGGGCCAACATAATAAACGCCAGGAAAAAACAGATGCCTAAACCATCCAGTCAGAAAGGCAGTAGATAAATACATCACTCTTAAGAACATCGCTTAACTGTGAGCTGTAGGAATGCACAAGTCACAGATACAGAGTCAGGATTCATAGTCATAGCACCCATACCTAATTTGCATAGCATGAATGCATTTAATTGCCATATTTGCAGTTCTAGACAGCAAGAATGGCTTCGTTATTTCTTTTGCAACAAAAGCAACGTATAGTTAGAATTTAGCACTTGTTTTGTTACAAACGTTTCCTAAGAAGGGTTGCAGTGTGCCCAGAAAACAAATAAAGGAAGCACCAATGTCTTACATAAATTTTTTTTAAAAGTACCTGTCATAGTTGGCTGTAGCAACTTGATCATGTTACTGACTCCAGATGAGAGGGAACTGGCATAGAAACTACCAAGGGCTACGGCACCTGCTTCCAGCTGAATCCGCACTGGATCTGTAGGTGAAGGGGAGAGACCATAGGTGTAAAAGACAGAGCATTTAGTACAAATAAATAAAAATAACTTCATCTGAACCTGCACGAGCAGCCTGAATCTCATCTATGCATGTATTCTGGATGTGCTGGTTGCTCCTATTTTGTATTGGCTCCAAGAGGTCTTAAAAGCATGGCCAAAGAGATAAATCTAGTAAAGAGTTCTAGTTAAACTGATGATGCTTCATGTATGCTATTAAAAATATGGTTTGTGAAAATCCATGAGTTTAGATCTTCAAATCTTCCTCTCAATCCATCTGGTTTTCTTCTTTTTTTTCCCCTCCCAATTAAAAAAAAAAACAAACAATCATATAAAAGTATATGTTTCGTTAAAGTAACTTTTTAGATATTTTCTTGTTCATAGACACACCTGCCTGGAAAGACAGCAAGATCAAGGGGGAACAATCTCATTCATGTCAGGACAATACAGTCTGAGATTTCACACCAAACAAGGAAGCCAAGTGTGTGAATTACTTGGACTAATGCCTATCTATAATTCTTCACAAGTTTAATGCGATGAATGTAATTAAGCAATGAATACCTCATCTCAGCTGCTATCCTGAATATTCAGGCAACACAGCTTCAGGAAATCTCAGTTCTGCAGTTTTGTGGCTTTCTAACCATTTGTATTTTAACATGAAATAAACAGAAGGCGTTTTACTGCTTTTATTATCACTACCATAAAAAACAGTGAAGAGAACTGCATATTTGCTTAGAAAGACCAAGAGGTGTCCAAAAATTACCTGAAGTAATTCAGAAGCAGCAGAAGTTACACACATGCTTGAATAATAAAAGGCAACGTGCAGCCCAAAGTCTCCTGTTGTCCCTAATATATGCACAACTTGTTTGTTTCTCCCTGGAGCCTCCATGCCCTTTATTTAGTGTGGATAGTTGAGAACTTTCATATCAGATCATGTGAATGGTCTGGATGTTTTCATAGAAGACTTACAATTTGTGAAAATGTAACAGATCAGCCCTTAGGCAAAAGGGAAAATTAAAATCATTACATACCAAGCACCTGTGGCAGATTTTTGGCTAAGGAGTTAAGCCATTTAACTCTCAGTGTCCAATCTTGATTGGTTGCCTTTTCTACGAACAATTTTACTGAAGCCTGGAGAACTTCCATTTTATCCATCCAGTTTGCATCTATCTCAACAGCACTGAATTCAAGACTCTCAGGATTAGTGGACTGCATAATTTTTTTAAGATCTTGCAGAGTCAGTGGTAGTGTCCTGAAGCACAAAAGAGTGAAGTCCAGCAATCAAGAGCTCGAACTGCCACTTCCAGGAAAGCATATATTTTGCAAATCAAGCTACTCAGTATCAACCATCTTTAGGCAATAAATCTCTCTTCTTTATTTAGCTTTAAAGCCAGATTCCAACTTCAAATCAGTTGGGAGTGTCTGCTAACAAGAACTCACTATTGTCAAAAACTTATGAAGTGCAAGAAGTGAATATGCACAGCATTTCACTGAGAAATAACAACTGATTTGTACACCAGAATGATATGCAAAGCTGAGTTAAAAGAAACAAAGATAGAAGTGTTGTTAATTAAAAAAAAAAAAAACAGTACATTGCTAAGGTTTTACAATTTCAACATTCTATCTTAGTACTAACTTCTACAGCTTGTTCTCTCACTGGAAGCAAACCACAGTACCTGTCCACAGTAGGTCATTACGCAAAGAAGGCAGGAAGGAAGATTTTGCACCAGTGTTGTGAAAGTAACAGTTATATTGCTCAAGAAATCATTACATGAGTTCTTCATGTGGCCTCTGCACATGAGACTGCCTTCAAACAGCTCTGTTTGAAGGAGGAAATCTGTTTTTTTCACCTGAAGCTAGTGGATCTAAAATAACTGATGAATAATTGTTTACATGAAATCAGGAAGTACAGAAGATCATTAGTATATTTAAAACTAATTAAATACTCATTTTTTCAAAGCCGAGAAAGAAATTGAAGGAAGAGATTTTGGGGGCTTTTATTACCTTGTAAATCCAGTATTTGCATTCACATTTTCTGCTAAATTCCTACTCCTAACTCAACTCAAAGTGAGTCTAATGTACTTATTGAAGACTGAATAGGTTCAAGTATTTTAGACTGAAGAATAAACCAGTAAATAATTAAACTTGTATTTGTAGCGGTCTCATGGAAAGGTAACAGGAGTCTCAGCTACAGAGTGTGACTACCACAGTCTCTACCCACGCCATTTGCTCAGGACAAAGTTTTGCAGGGAACAACGACATGCCACTAGTATTTCACACATCTTGTTTCTTGCTCATTTATTAGATAAAGAGTGTTTCTTGCCTACCTGCAGTTCTTCAGGTTTAGTCTATTCAGACAATACATTAGGACCTGTGCATCTCTCTGGACTGTTGAAAGAAGCGAGTCTTCAGCTGCAAACAGACCTGTAGGTAGGGAGTCTGGCCACAATCCCATTGCTAGCAAGGAGTCACCCCAAGTTTCATGGGAAACCAGAGATGAAGCATGCTTTGCAACCAATTCTGACACAAGCTACAACAAACAACAAAAAAGCAGCTTAGAATCATATTCAAACATGTATTCAAGTACAACAGCTCAGAGAACTCTTTAATTGTATGTATGTATTATGAAATCCTTATAAACCAAGTGTTCTACAAACACTATATAACCTACATGATAAAAGTACCAAAACATTCCCAGCATAAGTGAAATAACACACTGTACAGTTTAAAATAGTAAGTGAATATTGCTGTCTCCAGATGACAGTGTGCAGAGTGTTTTGGGCTACAGAGTAATCAGTATTAATACTCCAAAGTCTCAGTTGAACCTGTTAAAGAACAGGTAAGCCTCAGAGTCCAACTGGGATATTCTCTGGCTCCCTTACGCTGCAAAAGAGCAAGCCACTATCTACAAAATGTTCAACAAACCATACTTATCTCCTGGGTAATATCTCAATAAGTATATCCCAGATTGACAGTCTTTATGCAACCCTCACTCACCAGACCTCTGTCTTCAGTAGCATGCCACCAAGCTCAGAAAACATGTCATGAAAGGACAAGCCACAGCTGAAATTCACTGTACTTCACCATTCAATACAAAGAAAAAACCAAACTTCTGGAGCTTCAACTGATCTGTTAGAATAAGTTACATGCAGAACTGTACTGCTTACACTGGAGTCAAAAGAGGCTCAGAATTTAAAGATACAGAAAATATCCTAATGCCACTTCATCCCTCCTCTTCATCACCTGACAGATGTCTGAGACCATGTTTAAAATTCTTTAGTTCATCTCTCCAAGAGCACCATCTTCACCAAGCCCTTGCTCAGGCACTTAGGAGCCAGGGGATCTCAAACACTAGTTTCATGAAATGATATTTTTCATGTATCTAGATGATGTAAGAAAAGCTTTCACATACAAGACTTTTACCTTCTGGTTAATCTGCAGTTGTTGTGAGCGGCCATAAACTTCCCAACAGGCTCTGTAAAAAGACTTTGCTAATCCAATGCCTCTTTGTACCTGCTGTACAATTAACACAGCTGCCTGAAGCAACGGTGACAAAGATGACACAGAACCTGAAAGATACACAGCATTTAGGGTGATAGGAATGTTTAGTAATTGTCAGCCCTTTAACCCCCCTGAGGACAAACACCACTTTAGACCCTGAGGAAGAAAATATACATAGTTATAAAAAATGAATACTACTGGGTCCTGAAAATTGGACAGGTTCTTCCCAAGGTTAATATGAAAATTTGACAAGACTGTAAATAACAGGTGACCCACTCAAAAACACATCAAGCAGCTGAGATGAATGAAACTCAGTCAACTTGCTCCATAGAACAACTTCAACAGGGCTTGTGCAAACCCTGCTCAAAAAGACATCAAGCAGCTGAGATGAATGAAACTCAAAGTCAACTTGCTCCACAGAACAACTTCAACAGGGCTTGTGCAAACCCTGTATTTTGCAGATTTTCACTTAGAATATATTGCCTTCCCTACGGCAACAGACAACTGATGCTTGCCAGTGTCTGATGTCTCATTACAAAGCACTTCAGTTGCCATCTTTTTATGATCTGGGACAACTTCCTGAAACTGCAAAAAATAACCCAAAACAATCTGATTATACTTCTATACCTTTGCTTATAACGGGACATAACACAATAAAATAACCAAGCTTTAACATTAAAGTTAATCTAAATATATGTAGTGAGCCTAAGTTG